CCTGTGAGGTAGGTTGGGCTGAGAGAGAGTGACTGGCCCAAAGTCACCCAGCCAGCTTTCATGCCTAAGGCAGGACTAGAACTCACAGCCTCTCGGTTTCTAGGCCAGGACCTTTAACCACTACACCAAACTGGCTCTCTTAAGGACTTCTCAAGAAAGCTATTATTAGTCCAATTATGGACTTCTTGAGAGCTAGATCTTCACATAATGTGTTCAAAGTATGTTAATTTGAGTCTGGTCATTTGTATTTCAAGTGAAAACTCTGGATTGATTTGTTCTATGATCCATTTGTTTGCTTTCTTGGCTGTCCATGTTATTACCGGGAGTCTTCTCCAACATGAAAATTCAAAAAGTCACTAATCTTTCTGTCCTGCTCCTTCAAAGTCCAATGTTCACATCCATTGGATGTCACAGGGAAAATCCTTCCTTGCATGATTCTGATCTTTGTAGGTATAGATACATGACATCACATCTAAATATCTTTTCCAAGGCATTCATTGCTACCCTATCAAGTGCTTATACATGGCGTATTAACTGATGCAGTTTTTTGGATGATGATGATGATAGTAATAAAAAGTCTCCCCAGCAACAGGTTAAACAAACAAGCTTTGGGTTTAATGTGTGGCCCAATCCTAGGACAAAGGCTGTTTGGGGTTTCCAGAAGAATAAAGGTTCAAGTTAGGTTACAAATGTAATTTTCCAGAAACTCCAAGTAGCTGTTTTGAGGGTTGAACAATATTATAAACCACAAAGAATTGGCTAATGTGCAGTGGGATAAGATGGCAATTCCCATAACCAAGCTTTTCACCTCAGTGCATCCCGATAGTGCAGACTTCATGCTGGATTCTATTTCTGAGTCCTCTCTCTCTTAAAAGAGGACAAATGTCAGCAAAGGAGGGTGTTTTTACCTCATGGAGGTTCTGGGCACGGTGGAGATCTCTGCTTCCAGAATTATTCCCCTCTGCTGGGTCAAATGAGTCTGCCAGCTGGCTCAGTTTGTTCTTGATTCTAAGAAGTGAATAAACCTTTCCCTTCTGAATTCAGTGAGCATAAAAATCACACTGCTAGCTTACTTGAAAGGGTCTTCCATGCAAAATAAATTAACCAAACAACTAATGTAGGAAATATTTTCTACTCCATTACAAGAATATACTCTGTAGCTTGACAATGGCATGCTCAGTGCTATTGAGTGAACGGTTATGTACAGGTTAGGATTAGGGTTACTCTTTCTCTGGCTTTTATCTTTCATGCCTCATTGTCCTTTCCCCAAAATTCTGCTGCTGAATTATTCATTTGTCCCATTCAGTGCTGTAGCTAAGTGTGAGGAAGCCTGCAGAAGGCATGATCTTGGATCCCCCTATAGATACTTTGGATATTCACCCTCAAATTTCTCTTCCCACCGCCTTCCCCCTCCTCTCTCTCTCTTACTCTGTTCTTTCCCTTCCCCATCCTTAATTTTTCTTTCTTTTAACTCTTTCAACAAAAATATGCTGCAGAGCTAAGTTGTGATTGGCTGTCTGGGGTCTCATATGGGAGGGACAAGAAGGAAGATCCCTCTCATATTGAGGGACAATTGAGGAAAATCCCTCCCATGTGGTTTTTTTAAAGCAGGTTTTGTGCAATGTAAACTGGGAGATCTCCAAGCTGCAAAGTCTTGGATGAAATCCCAGGGGTCTAGCTCTACCAGTACTGCTATTCATTTTGCTTGGATCATATCTACACTTCTGACCATGATGTTTGTTCGTTTGTTTATTAAATTTGTCCCTGCCCATCTCCCCCCAATGGGGGACTCTGGGCAGCTCACAACTCATTAAAAACAATAAATAAATATTCAATTAAAAGGCTATAATCACAATTACAAAAAATAAAGGAAAAAATCCAGGAGGCCGATGGTTCAAGGCAGCAATGCCAGGCCTCTAAGGGGCTAGCCAACCCCACACTTGA